GGCGGTACATGTATTCCGTTACTCCCCAACACTGGTCACTTGACACATGCTAGCAAAGCCGCGAGCTCTAAGCAAATTAAAAATAGTAGAACGAGAACAAAAGCTTATGTGATGTGTTTGCAGCAGTCCACACACATTCAACATCGGAGATTAACCTCAGCTTTAGACCGGATGCAATGTCAGGCTGAAGATGGAAACTGAGTGTAACGGCTTGACAACAACTCCACGGTGATCATGCCAGATTTGAATTTGTTCCAGATTGTTTTTTGCCGATATTTCAGTAGGATTGCAAGATTTTTTTTCTTCCCGTGAAGGTTTTTCTTCGGTTATTTCTCGTATCATTTCAGATAACTGGTATCAACCTCAGACAGAGTTATTAATTAGTCTGCCATCTTTGTGATCTTAATTAAAAGGAAACCCTCTTCTCATGCAATATGGGGAGGAAGAGGAATGCTTCTGAAGTCTGAAAACTGCAGACTAGTGCAACGGTTTGCAAGAAGCGTGAAAACCATTGATAGTTTATAATAACTGAAAAGAAATCCCAGATCTCTAAGATGTGAGGGCTTTAAAGACACACGAATTTGGTCAAATTAACACTATTGAAAGTCCTGTTGTTTTAAAAAGCTAAGAAACAAGTATTGGAAAGTGATTTGCTGACTGCGTTCCTCACTGAAGGTCCCGATGAAGGATCTTCCAAAGTCTGATCCATCTCTGTTGTTTATGATGTGGTGCTGATGTTTTTAAAGTGCATCCTGCATATTTATCTGGAGCATATTGTGTTTTGGATGTTGTTAAAAAGGCATCCACACAATAATTAGATCCAGGGAGAGTTATTCACAAAATTCTAGACTCTGTCTGTTGTCTCTGTAGTAGTAATTTTAGGTTTTTATTTATTTATTTTGTTGTCTGTCAAACACTGAATCGAGAGCTTTTTAACAATAAAAGGAGGAACATTTTAATCTGAATGTACAAACAAAAAGACGATGCACATCTAGCTTTGTAATACGGAGCTTTGATTTGATGACATCAAAGTGATATGCATTAATAAAATGGTACAAAACGCATGTGTAGCCCAGGTAAAACTATAATCATTATCCTTCTCAGTGTGGGTTTCAGAGAGTTTTTCCTTTCACACTTGATTAACCGCTGACAGTTTCATGCCTGCTGTTCCATATGTGACCTAAAGTTGTGTATAAATTCTGTCTGGTGTCTGTTGTAGAGTTGGCCGTTCTGCCACGGTGTCTCTCAGCTTCTTTGCTCTTCCCTGTGACGTCTGTGTCGGTGTTTTGCAGCTTCTTCATTGACAGACACTGTAATGGTACCCTATGGATGAACCCCGCTGGGTCTCAGAGCTGCTGTGCACCGGTTTCTTCACACTGCTAGGCAATGTCAATCACCTGCCCCCTCTTCTCACCTGTCTATGTCTGCTCTGTGTCTGTATATGTGTGTTGGAATTCATGGCTACATCTGTATAATTGTCTGTCGCATGTGTTATTTTCCTGGCAGGTTTAGCAAAGCCCATGGGGCTGGTAGAAGGGCCCGGAGGCCTCGGCCAGGGGGGAGCTGCTGCCACTCTGGGAGAAGATAGCCGCGATGCCGAGAGGAAGTACGAGGAGTATGGCTACAATGCTCAGCTCAGTGATCGTATCTCCCTGGACAGGAGCATCCCAGACTACAGGCCTAAGAAGTATGTCTGCCTGTGTTTCTGCTCATTTTATGTCATGTACATTCTTCTTCCAGCTACAGCTCTACACCTGTTTCTTTCCCCCTGTGGCTGGCTCTGTAGCCTTCAAAAAAAGACTTGTTTTAGGTTTGGTTGGCTTTATTTTTTTACTGCATGAAATGTAAGGCAGAACATTACCATTGAGTGCACTGTGCATTTTTCCTCGTCCACTTCTTTTATTTATTTATTTATGTTTTGCTTATCCTCTGCGACATTTACTGTGCAAAGTTGAAACAGACCGTCATGCAACTAGTGTTAGAATTGATAAACTCTACAAATATAGCCTGAGGCTGAGGATTAGTGGACTTTGCAAGAGCTTCTTGCAGGTTCAGGTGAGGTCAAAAGTGCAGGGAACAGTCATGTCTTTGTAATACTTTCTTAAAATCAGAAAGTCACGTGTGGATGTGTTCTTAATTTTACATATTTTCTTTTTCATGCATGCAGCAGTAAAATAAATAGCGACCATATGAGTTGACTCAGCTTCTGGGTGCAGGCCTCCACTGTTTTAGCTGTTTTTGAATAGACAGCTTTGTGTCAGCGGTATTTATGTGTAGCATGTCTTTAAGCTAAGGGTTTAAAAGCTCACAGTGTACACTACAGCCTCCAGGCTCACTCTGTCCCGAACATCAAAAATTTAAACACCTCACAAAGAAACAGTCTTAGGCTAAGTTGTAGCATTTCCACATATTAAATACTGACCCCCTGGATCTTCGCCTTAGCTGATGTTTTTCCTGTTTTGTGTCTTTTTTTTCCTGCCATAAAATGGTATTGCTCTGTGCTGTTCAGGAACCCAGGTGCAGCAACCTTTAGCATGTTTGCTTTTCAGAGCAATTTAACTGTAAATGTATATTAGCCATATAATAGCTCTGTAGATTACACAGATTTTGTATATAGTCATGCAATAGACTGGCAAACTGTCCAGGGTGTACCACACCTCTCACCTCTGAAGCAGAAGAGAATGGATGGATGCATAGAGTCTGTGGAAGCTAGCAATGAAGTAACAGATCATTATATCAACTAGCCGAACTTAGCTAAGCCTCTATAGCGCGCTGTTATATAGTTTTAGCTCATATTTTTTTTTAGATCGATAGATGTAGCAGTGCTGCACATTTTTCTTTTTTTTTGGTTTTCTGACGTTATATAATCTTTGATGTCAACTAGCTAGCTGACGTAACATCTAACGAACTCAAGCTACCAAATCATCTTGTTAGTGTATGCCTAGACATTATGCTTTGTTGTTACACCTGGAAAAAATGGCACATTGATCATTTCACTGGAGTCAAAAGAATTTGGACCATTTTTAACCTTCAGTAGTTGCTCGGTGATTGTAAATGACCTCATTAATATTTTGTAAAGTGTTTTGTAAAGTTATGAGTGACCATGTCTGTATCCCAATTCAGGGTCTGCAGCCTTAAAGT